GAAAAACTACAACCTGTGTTGGTTTTTTAAATAAATATTGTTATGATAATAATCTAAAATTATGTGATTATGTTATTTTTGAATCAACATAGAACATTCCACAGCTGTTTATGTTGGAAATAATGATATTTAGCATGTCATGTTGCATTGGGATGTGAGTTGCATTCGGATCAGTGTATGGGCTACTATTTATTATATAGGCCCATATCTGTCTATGGTGAAAGATTTTTTGGTTGGGTTTTATGAGCCTGTACTTTGGTAAGTTTATAAAAATCTATGATCTTTATACCCATGGTAAATTTCCCTTTTTTTATTTGTAAATTGGGAGGAGGGGAGCACTATATTTTGTCCTACCATTGCTACAAAAGCAGAAGATATTCCACTTGCAAAAAATGTCAGAAAAGGGACAGCAGCAAATGTTCACATTTGAGTGGCTGAAACCATTAAATGATAAAGCTAAATAGCTAAATTTATTATCAAAACAGTGATGACCGGTTCATTGTTGCAGCTTGCTTGTTATATTGGTTCTAAGAGGTGTTATAACTGAATCCTGCCTTCTTCCAGGTAACTCTGTCATCATTGTCCCCGGTCGGAGCAGCACCCCTGCAGTGCTCCTCCTGGCGCAGCTTTTTATGGGAGTGGGACTTCCTGCTGGGGCTCTTAATGTTCTAACAGGAAGTGACATGTCGCTGGGTGCCAAAGTGGCCCAGAGCCCCAGCATCAGCTACGTCGCCTACAGTGGCAACAAGCAGGTGCGTGCATGTGATATTCCTAACAAGAAAGTTGAAAACCTACTAAACCTGCTAAATCATTAAAACATCTTCTCTTTCAGGACGGGGTGATGCTGTGTAAGGCCACAGCAGGGATGGGCGTTCCCGTCTCGGTCTCCCCCTGCATTGGTGCCACGTGCCCCTTCATCATATTTGAGTCAGCTGACATCGACAGCGCAGTGGATGGAGTAATAGAGGCTGCCTTCAAGAAGAAAAGAGAGGTGATTTACTCAAATAAGTATCTCCTATAGAAGGATGGAGTGTTTCTCATGCTATCACGTCAGACCACCACGTCTCTCTAACAATCTCTCTTCCTTTCTCCCCCCTCAGGTCCACTGGGTGTTGTGCGTGCAGGAGAGTGTGCTAGAGAGTGTTGTGGCCCGTCTCAGGCTGCGTATGGTGGGGATGAAGTGTGTGGCCCTGTGCTGTGATGGAGACAGGGCCTTGGTGGATGCTGCAGTACAGGAAGCTCAGCAGCAGGGGGCCACGGTTAGTCAGAGCAACAAAGAAAAGCTATACTAAGCTGCAGTGAGGTTTAATATGAGGGACTGAGAGTAGAGGAGGCTCACATTATTACTATCGGTGATGGAAACTAACCTAAGTTAACTCTGTTAAAAAAATACAAATAAACATTTAGACAACAGATGGAATTTATCTTTGTACTCTTACGTGTCTCTAAACTTCATCAGGGGCAACAATGGACTGTGTGTCTGTGTTGGCTTAACTTGGCTAAACACACTGAATACCACCATTTTCAGCTAGATACATGTTTAAACTGTTGTAACAGTAGCTAAAGCGTTTTACAGCTAAAAAAGTTTGAAATGTGGTGAAAAATGGAAAATGTCGGGGGAAATGGATGAATATGAATACATGCGTAAGAAAATGAAGGAGTTGAAAAATAATAATGAGCTGTAATATTTCTCTTTCTGGGTCCCAGTTGGTTCAGTCCTGCGCTGCCCCCCCTTCGGGTGCCCAGTACCCTCCCACGGTACTCTGCGGGGCGGCCCCCTCCTCTCCATTTGTGGTCAGCCCCTCTCCTGGACCACTGCTGCCTCTCATGACCTTCAGAAGCAACCCAGAGGCAGTGACCCTGGGTAAGGCCGCCTCTGTGGATGTAGATGCATGACTGAAGATAGTTGTAGTCATCTGATTTTAGACAGTTAAGTTACCTTTGATGAATATGAATTTTACAAAACTGGCAGTTCAGTATTTAAAAAAACTTTGAGTGAGACTTAAAGTTACTATGTGTAGCATTTTACCATCATTAACACAGTAAGTTTGTAGAGGCTTCTGCAGTGTATTTACATTTTTTTTTCCTAGTTAACAGAGGTTTCTCTGTTCAATACAACAGATTTCAGAGGAGTAATACAGTTTGTATTTTAATATCAAATTTATACTTGAACCCCAGTAACAGTCTTTCTTCTACACAGGAAACCACAGTCCTCATGGCCAGGCAGCCTCCATCTGGACTGAAGACCTCACCCTGGCTCTGGAGACAGCTAAGAGGTCCTAATATTTACATTTATAGGCACCTTAAAGCCATTTTCATGTTATGTACACCTGTGCGTTTGACAAGTCATACACAAGCATTTTGACTGATAAAAGTCTACCTCCGAAACATCGCAAATTAATGTTTTATTGCAAGTTAGACAGTGTGTGGGAATTTGTAAGTCACAATGTCTGTTGTGGGGTGCCCGGAGAGCTCATGTGGTAGAGCTGCAGCGGCCATCTATAGAATCCTTGCTGCCATAGGTTCGAATATGACCTGTGACCTTTTGCTACGTATCATCCCCTCTCTCTCTCTCTCTCTCTATCTCTATCTCTATCTCTATCTCTATCTTTCTCCCCTTTCCTGTCTATCTTCAGCTGCCTTATCTGATAAAGGGAAAAAGTCCAAAAAACAAATTGTCTGTTGTAAAAAGGCTCTTACTCCCTACTGATATTTTTTTCTCCTTCCTCTGTCCTCAGTCTGTCTGTTGGCTCACTGTGGGTGAATTCCCACTCTGTGTCTGACCCCTGTCTGCCGGTCTCCGGTCACAAAGACAGTGGCACCTGCACTGACGGAGGACAGGAGGTGTGTTTCAGTAGTTTATCACACAGTTGCGCTTTAACAGAAGACACTACAGAGGCCCAAAATTTACAGATTATTCCAAGATGGTTACCCTTGTTGCTAGCCTTATATTAATTTAAATGATACATTTGCAACTTTTCTATGTTGTGTATTAGGAGCAGTTTGTTATCAAATGAAACCAGATACCAACAAAATATGTATATCTCCTTTTAAGTTAGATTCATTTATAAGCTTTTGTTGCACAAGTTGGCAGGGAGGCGACGACATATTAGACAAGGCATACTGCTAATACAGGATTTTAGTTCCTAAAGGCTCTACCCACATTTTGCCAATATGATACTCAAAGTTATACAAGTTAGACATTGTCAAGTCTCCCAATATGACCCAATATGACTCATATCATATACATTTTTTTAAAATAAAATGATATAAACTTGGCATTACATACACACAAACCTCTGAACCAGTTATTGCTCTGGATATGGATGGACACGCCCATCTTATTATCAAATAAGTATTAGAAAAATTGGAAATGTGATAAGGAAAAATGGCCTTGTTGTGTGGGGAAAAAGAGTAAATGAATAAATAATTTAGGTCTTCTATTTATCTTGGCATATGTGTTATATATAGCTTTATGTTTTTTATCTATTGTTTGGTAGAAAAACTAAAAAGCTTTTTGCTTTTTGTAATTAACTGATAGGAGGTTGAAGGAAGAGATATATAAAATACATATACAAAATAATAATAATTTTTTCAATATAATGACCACTGCAGGGATAATTTCCTAACCACTATGCAGATGAGTTTTGTACTGTGTGTTGACCTCCTCTCTGCTCTCTGCCAGGGTCTGTACCAGTTTCTGCGCCAGTCCTGTTCTTCCTCTCCTCCTCTACCTCGCTCCTCCCCTGTCTCTATGGACTACTCAGTGTTTGGAACAGCAGCATCCCCAGCTATCATTCCTGATGTTTCTGACCCTGCCAGGTGTGGTTTTTAATGCTTTTAATCTTTACTTAAAGTCATGTTTATAAATATATCACAAGGCATTATAGCTGCATAAGTGCATTATTAATATATTGTAAGTATACAGCAATGCATGCAGGGTTTAAAGAAATGATCTTCTCTATTTTTGTCAATTCTGCACATTTTGTACATATCTGTCCACATGTATCACTCCCTTCATCCCTTATCTCCCCTCAGGGCTCCTAAGGCCTACCTGCAGTTTGTCGGTGGGAAGGCATGTAAATCAGTGTCTGGCTGCTGTGTGGCTGTGCAGTCTCCAGGGGGCGGCAGTGTGTTAGCCTACTGTCCAGACGGAGGCCGGAAAGATGTCCGTAATGCTGTGGAGGCTGCAGTCAAAGTCCAGCCTGGGTGAGAGCTTTGCCAAACAAACATACCCAAATTACACACAAACTATTGCAAATTGGATCAAAGTCCAGATAAAAAAACAAATGCGTATATTCTGTGTTTTCAAAGTCACAAACCCGAAGCCACAGTGGACACTGGACTGATATATGTACAAGGGACACCAAATAAAAACTCAGTTTAAATAAAACCTTTTATTTGCATATACCAAGGCAATATACAAATAATGTAGGAGTTGTGATGACTTGACTGTCTGTGACTTGTTTTAAATAGGTGCAACAAAGAATAATACAAAAGCAAATAACTACAAATAATTTAATATTTCATATTTGTAACCTTTGTCACCCACGTTTCATAAATATAAGCAACTGGTTAAATAAGCATAGTCACAATATACATTGATTTCTGTGGGTATAAAGGAAATATGTAAACATTGTTTTTGCATTTGCGTTTATAGTAAGAGTTTGGTTTAGGTACCTTAAAGTGGGTAAAAAGTGCTTTAATTTTGTTTTGAAATTGAATTTTACTTTTACAAATCTGTTTGAAATCTGTATATCCCAGTTTAATCCTACTAATAAGACACATCTTTGCTGCTTTTCCAGCAATCACCTTCCCATTACTACTTCTTGTTGGGCCTGATATAAATACCTTCCTTTAAGATATTTATCCCATAATCTTTGCAATTGTGCCTTACCTATTGGGTTACTTATTAATGTTGATTTGTTATTAATTCATTGTCATTGACACTTTTGCCCAATGCAACATACAAATTAGGTAAAATCCAAGCCACAGTAGATCAGAGGAAGATATAGAATATGTGCTGCAGCACTCTCATCCATGTTCCACTTGACACAGGTGTCACAAGGCTGCAGGAGGATGAAGTTAACAGTAGGGGCCTATATTAAAATGCATTTATTGTGAAGCAAGCCACTTAATGTCTCATTTGATTACCACACTAACTACAGCATTATTATTATTATTATTATTATTATTATTATTAATGCATCTCAAGGTCACTGTCAGTGCTGATACTCATCCAATAGATCGGAGCTGATTCCCTAATCATAATCACTCATTTTGACCACTGACTATTGTTGGATGCTTCGTTTTAGAGAAAATTAGAAGTGTTAACATAAGGGCCTCACTGAAAAAAACAAACAAACAGCATGTATTTTTTTAAATCCTTATCTTCTTTGTTGTACAATGTTATTTAATCCTGTCAGCAACCATCAGCAGGCATTTATTCAATTTGGCCCAGGCTAAAACACTCCTTTTCCTAGTAAAATTTAACACCAACCAATCTAAACAGGGCTTTAAAGCATTTTGAGGTGAAGTTTGGCCTTTATAAAAGATATTTATTCTGGCTTTCAGGCTCTCACAAGGACACCTGTACACAATCCAGATAGGCAGCAAATTGTGTGTTTTATTACCAGTCCAGTTACAAGTCCAACCTGACACAGATTTGCTGAGTTATATTATGATCAAAGTTTGATTACACTGAAATCCAATAAACACACAGCTCTTCTTGTCGATAAATACAAACCATTAGAAGAACAGTACATGCTTTTTTCCTGCAAGACATTCATACCTTTTTACATGTCGTAACCAAAATAATTTAGTGGTAATAATAGCAGTTGTCATCCTGCATATGTAACCAAAATAATGAAACGTAACCTGACAAAGAAACACACAAAAGATCACTGGTTGGCACCAAGGGTTTTCATAATCATTTTATTTCTCTTAACATCCTTCCCCTTCTCAGCTGGATGAAAAAGAGTCCTTCTGCACGTGCTCAGTCACTCTACGCTCTGGCCAAGGGTTTGGAGGTGAAGAGGCGGGACATAGTTGTGTCAATCAACATTCAGACTGGTCTCTCAATGGACAAAGCAGAGAAGGAGGTGGAGCTCAGCATTGCCAGGCTCAGTGACTGGGCAGCTTACTGTGACAAAGTCCAAGGAGGAGCTCTGGTGGGACTTTTTTTAATATTATTATTATTATTAATATTAAAAAACACTCCCAATAATGAACAAATGAGATGATCCCCAAACCTTCTCCCTCTCCTTCAGCCTGTGCCACAGTCTGGCTCTGCCCTCTCCCTCCCTGAAGCCTTGGGAGTCGTGGGGGTCGTTCTGCCTGACAAGGATCCCCTCCTCTCTACAGTAACAATTCTCGGGGCCGCTATCGCCACTGGAAATGCCGTCATCATGATCCCCAGTCAGAAGAATCCACTGCCAGTCTTGGCGTTCATTCAAGTAAGTGATAAGGTGTTAACTGTGCGGTGCACCGAGTTGGTTAAGAGTGGAGACTGTATCTGCACTTTTCAAGTACGCTTGGCAGAGGTGGAAAAGTGACTGAGTGAGTTTGCTGGGATCATCAGGTTTAACTAACAAGTACAGATGAGTGTCATCTGCATAGAAGTAGAGAAATATATCAAAGTGATGATTTAAAAGACCTAATGTTGACATATATAAATGAAAAATAGAATTGGGACCCAAAACAGACTGTAGAGGTACGCCACTGACCTGCGTACACCTGTCTATGTATCTGTAAATACTGATTTAACTTTATAACCCCTTTTCCTCCTCCTATTCCTCAGGTGCTCCAGTCTTCAGACCTGCCAGCAGGTTTGGTAAATATCGTGACAGGACTAAGAGACCAGCTGACAGTGGCTCTGGCAAATCACAGCATCATCAAGGCCATCTGGTACTGGGGAAGTGCTGAGGTGAGGACCACTGTTCAAATTTTGTCTGGAAGATTATTTTTTTCCTAAAAGAAGGATTTGATGTCCTCACCCAGACAGCACTTCACCCCTGCTCTCTGATTTTCTTTCTGTAGGGATGTCAGTACCTCCAGTACACGTGCACCAGCCCTCTGAAAATCCTGTGCCTGTTCTGCCAAAAGGACGAGGAGGGAAGGGACTGGACCCATTCCTCGCTCCTGGAAGAGATGTGGAGAAATGCCGTCCAGTGGAAGAGTGTCTGGATTCCTACTGCATAAGAAGACAGAGAGAGGGAAAATGAAAGACAACTGTGACCTGTAGGATGTAAATTTAAAAGGAAGGATCAAAACTTAACTGTGACCATGAAATTCATAAGATGTCAGTGAACTTAGCAGTGAACAGACAAGAAATGCCTGCAGTATTTATCATTCACTAAGCCTAACGCTCCTCAATTACTGTTGCTATGCCTGTCAAGCTTTCTGTTCTTGCACGACATGCATGCAGGATCCTTGATTTCAGACAGAGGTTGACGAAAACAGGCTTCTCATTTCCAGCTTGTGTCGATTTTGCCGGCTAAATTGAGAACTGTCACTGGCAGATTTTATCAGCTTCTATTTAATGAAATACTAACTGTTGGACCTTGGAAGTAACACACAGTAACAACTGTAAGCAAGTGAGTAAGCTAGTTAGCGGGGTATGCTAAGTAGCTATTAATTTATCTTAGTTTTGCAGAAGCCTGTGAATTGATGATTTGTTCCAACATGTTATGGCCAATTATTTTTGGATCACAAATGAAACATCTGTATAATCTGAAGCATCAGAAAATGTGGCATCAAGCAGCCAACGCAGAAAAACCTGACATCAGTAAATTAAAGAAAAAGATGTTAGCACAAATCTTAATATCACAACAAATGTTAATATCAAAATATGCAGTACAGTCAAACATTCATTAGCTTTTCAGTTGGTTTCTTCAGCCCCAAGGTCACATAAAATGAAATACTTAAATATGCAATGAACAGGATACCAGAAAATGTATTTTGTTTACTGCTGAAAGGAGGCACTGGGAGTCCCATGTTACTGACTGAAACCTCTACATCATTTATGGCTCAGAATGTCGAGCTATTTAACACTTACATTACCAAAAAAAATATCACTAGTTAACATATACAACTCTATCCTATTATCTTTTATTTAAAAGCTAAACAAAATGTAAATGAATGTAAATTTTCGTCAAACAAAAGTAAATGCCTTCATTAGTTTAAACATAATGCCGCAGGTCAGACAATAGGGATTTATTTAGCAGGTTATGCGTGAGTGGGCAGAACGAGAAAACAAGATTAAATGTCTTAACATATTAAATTTTGAGGTGATGGCAACCAAAAGCAAGAACCATGTCGACCTGATATTTGCTGTCGCATTTCTGCAATCATAGACACAGGACCTGCTCACTTTCTACCTCTATCTTCTGCTATTGTGCTTCTTTTTCCTATTAGTCATCACATCTCTGCTTGGTTTGTTACAAGTATCTTGATTTTAAGGTCAGCATTTCATTTTTCAGGAAGACTTTAGAAAGAGCCCTGGATCAGATAGTTTTCATTAGACACCAGGTATTTGTGGTGTGTCATAAAGTTTTAGAGACATGGTACAATCTGTCAGTGGTGTTTTTTACTATAAATGCATCCCTTTTTCTCCAGTTCTCCAACTTGAAACCTCATCTGCCTTAGAGGTCTGTCAATGACAGAGAAAAATCGATCAATCTTGTGTCATCTCAACTGAAATATGCTAAGGTACTGTACTGTCTATCTTTATTACTGTACAATAATACTGTAACTTTTAGCCATAGGGGTACACTTGGCGCAAACATTCCCAGGAAAATCTAGTTTGTAGACACCATCAAATCTGTGTTTCCAGAGAATGACAGTGTGGGTCTCACTGTCTAAAAGCCATAATAAAAAGATCATTTAATTAATTTACACGCTATCTTGTCGTTGAATTTTAATAATTTTGGTGATCCTTGATGTTTCATCTACTGTAGTAGTACTTTAGTGGCATCTACAGCCAGGTGTAGACAATATAACCTCCTGAATGTTACACACTGGACCTTTTAAGACCAAACACCCATTAAACTGATGACATTCCCATCAACCTCAGCTGTACTTGGTGTTTGGTATTGAATCAGATAATGTTAGTATGCTACAGTAAGATGATGAATGAACATGGTAAATATTAGGCTATACCCGCTTAACATCTGCATTTTAGCATTGTCACTGTGAGCAAGGTAACATGCTGAAATTAGCATCCTGCTCAAAGAGTCTTATATCTTCTCTGTCTAAAACCCCTGACAAGTTTAGCAAAGTTTAACTTTCCCAACAGTAACTAATGAGAAATGTTTGAAAAGATACATACAGTTCATGTGCTCATGTTATTTCAATATATTTCAACTTGGCTCATTTTGTAAACTAGGTCGTTTTACACACTAAAAAGTGGAAAAATGTACATAATGAGACTGGACACACTTTGGTTAAAACGTACAGTACATCTTCTCTAGTTACTGGTTCCTTTTTTTTACTTTCTGGTTCCTTCTTTAGTCTCCCAAACTGGTTCCAACCGGCTTAGCACTGAGGTCAAGTTCTCTCCCAGGTCTCAAGACTCCTCCCTCTACCCGTCACCCTGATCAAAACAGAACACAGTAACAGGAAGCATGGCCATGAATTCGTAGAAAAGCTGAGTCACCACAATGACACAGCACAATCCTCTTGAACCTGATCGTACTTGTGCACAAGGCTGACTAATAGTAATACGTGACACAGCACAAAATAAAGATGGTGCTGCCTATATTGCTGAGTATGAGAATGTGGGATATAAAGTGATAACAGACATGCACATTAGACTGTAATGAAGTGCTTATCTTGCTAAAGCACCAAATTCCGTTCTATTGTTCCCTGGTGTATGGTTAATCTAGTAAATGCAAAAAAGGCTATAAAAAGCTTTTTATTAGAGGAACCCCGTGTAAACCTACACTGCACCATTAACCCAGTGGTTTCCAACCTTTTTTCTTAAGGGACCCATTTTCTATCATTGGGTAAATTGACGACCACTACATATATTATATATATTTCATATATATACCTTATAAACTGTACAATGAACCCACATAGTGAACACAATAACTGCAGAAAGTTGGTGTAAAATTAGTGATTTAAATGAATTTTGAGCAGATTATGTCCTGTGAATATATTTAGTAACTTTTTGTACATTTCTCTTTCAATTTATTATGTGTTTTATTTTATTTTCTAACAATCATACAGACTTAAAAGGCTTTTTTTTTTTTTTGACCAATTCAGTGTTTTCTTCTCCCTGATACTTGGCCATTGTTCTAATACAGCTTGTGTTCAGGTCATCAAAGTTTTATTAAATAATACGCTGTAATGTGGTAAGTTATTTTAACTCAGAAGTTCAAACAGATTACATAAAAAAATGTATGTAACTCAAACTCAATTTTGTAAGTAAAAAACATTCCAGATTAAGTACTTTTTACTCCAGTACATTAACCCCTGCATACCATCCTGTTTTTAGCCTGAATCCTCATTTGTCTATGTTGTGTTCATTAATTCATAGGCAACCTTCAGGTATGAGATGGTCATGGTTTTGGCCTACAATGATAACGTCTTTTGCTAACGTCAACAGTGTTCCATGCAGGCTGAAACATTTTATGGAAGAGTGGCCTACATTCAGAGAAAACTGTCTACCAAGAAAAACAGTCATCTGTTTTTAAAGCCGACGACCACAAGTGTTTCTAAAATAAAGCTTTCCTGTAAAACACAATGTAGCATATGAGTAAGATGGGATGGTGGCCCATGGCAAATAAAGACAAAAAAGCCCTCAAATTAAGTGATTTATCTACAAAAACATACTTAAAATTGCACAAAGAGATGGCTGGGAACATTGGGCCCATCTTACCAATTACATTAACCTGCAAGAGAGCAAAAACACCACCAAACAGGCCAGAGGGCTTCCACATAAGTGGTTAAGGTGTCTGGAAATACATAAAATAATTTAACCAAAAAGCAGGTACTTTTTCCAAATTAAAGAGTGGCTATACTAGCCACACTGCATTTTCATTAAGATTAACGCCTGTCTGGCTCATTCCTGTAGTGCCACTTCCTAATAAAAGTCAGGAATTTGTTACGTAATTAGCCAGACATCAGAAAAATAACTATACAGAGACAGCTGGAATGTAGCAGTGATGTTAGCTAGCTTGTAGCTCTAGATGCTAAATATTAAATATGAGCATATCACTTTTGAAATGCATTTGTTGTAATATATCTGCAATGCAGTGTTTAAAATTAGGACTCTAAGATGATGAACTTAAGCTAGTTTAGCTGGCATAATATCCACACAAGAGTCCTCATTGACCATCACCAAACATTCTTACTATTGTTTTCACTGATACATAACTACTACAATTTGATACCAATAGAGAAAAATCCCACAATACAAGTTACCTTCAACAGAAACTAACAGTTCAGGTAATATTTCATTTAATTGTTGGAAAATTAGGCATCAAGAAGTGGTAGGATGCAGAGAATAATGTTATGTAAAAAGAAGCAGTGTCTTTGTGTTAAGCAGGTGGTGAACAAAGCCCTTAAAGTACACCTGGGCTGGGCACTTGAAACAAAGCAAAGCTATACAAGTGGAAAAGTACTGGCTTATAGTGCTGTGTCAGTTTATTATAGTCTGATAAGGCCACATCTCAATGTGTGGTTTTTGAACTTGAGCTAGATATGCCACAGAGGGTGATCATTAACTCAGCAGATTATTTTAAAATCAGTTCCAGAACCATCATTTTCAGGTAAACAAAATGTCTGACTCTCACATTAACCAAATATAAGTTGATGTTTTGCTGTCTTTATTGTGAGTACATACACATTTAAAGGGCCAGTGTGTAGGATTCAGTGGCATAGCAGTGAAGTCGCATATTGCAACTAACTGAACACCCCTCGTGTCTGTATTTGACAACCACTTGGGTACATTTCACAGCCATATGGTGGTGCAAAAAACCCGAAAGGCCGTATCTACAGCCATTGTTTGGTTGGTTCGTTCTGGGCTACTGTAGAAAACATGGTGGTTCAACATGGCAGACTCCACTGAAAGCAACCCACAGGTCAGTTCAGTCTCTATGTGAGGAAACTCACACAGACACAAGCTTAAATGTGTTTGTTTTTTTTGAAAGGCTCACACATCTTTACCTACGTGTATTAAAGTAATATTCAGCAGTTTCTTGGTCCCCATGTCATTTCAGCAATTATGTGACTTTTCAGGCTGTTCAGACTCTCTGTCTTGCAACAGTGCTGTGGTATTGAGTAATGCAATAAAAACCAGCTTGGATGAAAACACGTTATCAGCAGTTTTTGGATGTCGTGGTGTATTTACAGTATGAGGTAAAACAAGTTCAGTTTATAGTAGCTATATAACATTATATATTATATGTAACATTGGGCCCAATGTTAACTACATCATGACTAACCAAGTCCTATAGGTTGCTTAAGTGTATGCAAAGTATAAGTCAACAATCCAGTGCTCGGTCAGCTTATAGAAAAAAAAGGCAAGACCAGAGTGCAGCAGAATCTCTAGTTCTTTGACATTTGTAGTGTTTTGAGAGAAGAAACACTCCTATTTTAACCTGGGTTTTTGTATTGTAGTTAATATAGAGGACAAATTATAATATATTTTATTAAAATTAGCATATTAACACATTATTATTATTAGGCGACAACCGGTTCTAGTGTTAAGGTGTACCGCAGTTCTGTGTGTGGTTTGTCCAGGTGGTGTACCCCAGCAGAAACTGTTGCCTGACTAGGTATGTACTGTATTTGTCTTTCATTACTTTCAAATGTATTTAAAGGTTGAAAATTAGAATGTTATCGTCTTGTAAATAGTATATATATATATATATATATATAGTTGTTTTTTTAATGCTGTTTTTATATGTGAAAATAAAGAGAAATTGACAACTTCACAACCTGCTTTTACACATATAAATGCCACTCTTAAAACGATTCTGTATTGTATTCTGTTATATATAATATAAAATAACGCAGTGTAATGTTTACTGAAAAAGCAAAAATGCTTCGTCATTACATGTGACTGTTGTCCCATTAACAAGAAGGAAAAAAATGCCATTTCATCTCTTACCTCATAGCGTAACCATTGTCATGCGCTACCTGAGCTCAGTGATTGGCGGAGAGTGATGTTGCGTCTGTCACGAGTTCTGCGGAGGGGTATAAATACAGGGAGCGACGCTTCTGCCATTTCACACCAGGGAAGAAAGTCTTAAGGAGTTCTTGCTTCAACAGTGTTTGAACGGAACTTCTTCCTTCGTCCCTCTTTTGTTTCTACACGTCTACATTCCGGAACCCAACAACCTTTACTACTTGAACACTACTGAAAAAAGTCGCCGTAAAGCTCTATTTTTGTACTGTTTTGTAAAGAAAAAGCGCAAGAAACGCCAGCCAAAATGGAGTCCCAAGTGCGTCAGAACTACCACCGCGACTGCGAGGCCGCCATCAACCGAATGGTCAACATGGAGATGTTTGCTTCTTACACCTACACTTCCATGGTAAGAAACACTTATGATGTTGTGTATATACATGTTTATATGACTTATTTAGAGCAGTAATGGGGCATTTCAATGTTAGCTTCTCAGTTGTTTATCACTGACTGGCAGACTGCCTGATAAGGAGTATTTAGCCTCCACCCATCTCGCTGAAGAAAAACTGCTGTGTCATGCTTATGCTGCTTGTTATGTATTTTTCTTACCTTCATTGTATCTAAACCGACTAGAAGTCATGACTCATGTGCCTGACCACCGCCTGGCTGCATGACTACTGTTTGTCACAATAATTTTGGCCATATAATGATGGATGGCGTCTCCTAATAACTGTTTTTGTCCTCCTGTCCCTCGCAGGCCTTCTACTTCTCCCGTGACGATGTTGCTCTTCCAGGCTTCTCCCATTTCTTCAAGGAGAACAGCGACGAGGAGAGGGAGCACGCTCAGAAGCTGCTGTCCTTCCAGAACAACAGAGGAGGACGCATCTTCCTCCAGGACATCAAGGTCAGTACAGAACGGAGAACCTGCCCCGTTCTTGCACGTCTCACCCCGCCGCGTGTCCAGTACAGACAAACTGGGATTGATCTGTTGTGTTGTGACACTCCAATTTGCCACGATCCAGTTTTAGTAGCAGTATACTTTACTATTTATACATCTCATCCTTTGATACGTCAGGGCTGAATTTATTATTTCCTCAGTAAACGTTATCAGATGCCAGAGCTAAGCCTCTGAGCTTGTTCTGAGACAGAGGGTGATGGATTGCAGTGGTACTGGTGACTCAGATGGCTGTGTATACATGTTTAATGAGTGTTCAGTCTGTTATAATTGACTGTTTCTCTTCCGCAGAAACCGGAGCGTGATGAGTGGGGGAGCGGGCTGGAGGCCATGCAGTGCGCCCTGCAGCTGGAGAAGAACGTCAACCAGGCTCTGCTGGACCTGCACAAGCTGGCCTCTGAACACGTAGACCCACATGTAAGTAATGACATTAATCCAGGGAGAGGTTTGCAGACATGTCCTGGGTTAAACCTTTTGACATCTTCCTGTCTTTACCAAACCAACGATTGCTCTCTCTCGTCCTCAGCTGTGCGACTTCCTGGAGACCCACTACCTGAACGAGCAGGTGGAGGCCATCAAGAAGCTGGGTGACTACATTTCCAACCTTAGCCGCATGGACGCCCACACCAACAAGATGGCGGAGTACCTGTTTGACAAGCACTCCCTGGGGGGAAAGAGCTAAACAGAGTCCCAGGATGATAAACACGCCTTCTGTTCCAGCTGTTCACTCTCTGAGCGTGATTCTATATCTAATCTGACCTATGAAGTTGATGAGTTCTCGTCTGTTCTGGTGGTGTTGCTGGTTTTTGATGTCCTATAGAAGGATGGATATTAATTGGGTTGTCGCTTTGCCTTCATTACCTGTATGCCTCCTCCTGTGACATTTTTGTTTCTGATCTGTTAATCTGAATAAAAATTTTGAGCTGGACTCTGGTGTCTGTCTGCATTTGTCACATGACCTGTTCATACGGACCTAAAAGTTATAGGTAACATTAACACGATAGATCATGGACCTAGTTAGTTGGCTTTTAAAAGGGACGTCTTGTCTTTGTACATTTGGAAATAGAAAATTGTTCTTACACAAAGCTCAGATCAGCCAAACAATAAGGTATTCAACTTTATATAACTTGGTCCCTGTGCCTGTTAACATCAACACTTGTTATATCCACAACAAATCCCATTAATCACCAGAACTTGACGGGTTCCAACAGCAGGGCGGGGACGTATTTCTTTTGTTGTCCCAGCCCATGTCCTCTGGATAAGTGATGGTCCAGACTACACTTGCTTTAATAACCATACATGAGAGAAAGCAAAGACGGCACATTACCTGTTCATTACTGTCAGTGCTGTCCCAAACATAATGCTGATAATTAAGAGCTTAAATGGCTTTTAGAAGCCTGCACTGTCACCAAGCATATATAAGTGTACAGGTGGCTAGAATATGTCCACCTTCGACAGATTATGGTGTTACAGGCTAACATCCTCTCTCTGTGTATGCAGTTTCCATTTAAAACAAAAGCTGTGGTGGTAGTAAGTGGAAATACTCAGTTATGAATAAAGGCCATGCATTCAAAATTAAGTACAGAAGTATTTGGCCTCAAATAAAAATAATGCAAATAGCCAAATTCAGATTAATATATTATTGCATTATAATTATTTATGCATTAATGTGTTCATCACTTTAATGTTGCAGCTGGTAAAGGGGGTCAATTGCCCCTTCCTCCTGGGTTAACTAAAGTCTTATATTACCTTAACATACAATAATATATCATAATTGACTTCATTATATTGTATATTATTAAACACAATCTGCACAGTATCTGGTACCTTAAGTTATCAAATAAATGTTGTGCACTAAAAAGTACAATATTTGCCTTGTTGTTACTTGCCACCACTGGACAAAGGAGACATGATGTTTAATTTGAAGTATAAGCCCAGATATGTTGGCTTTACTTTAAGAATCTGAGGAAACTGGTTGCCTTAAAAAGAAAAGTATTGTGTAATAAAAACTTGAGTGAATTTAACTTAAATTCTCCAAGGGCTGGAAGACTCAAAGTCCAAATTATTTGTACTTAAAGTCTGCAGTAAAATCACCTATTCCCTAAAAATGACATAAGAGCAAGTGTTTGTTGTTGACATATACATACTAAACAGTTGATGAAAAGTTTCCATTGCAGGGCAGCCCTACACTGAACTCACTGCTATAGTTCAGCATCAGCCATTGAATAAAGTTAAAATGCCGTCCATAAATTGGAGTTTATAAATTGGGCCACTTTGCCTGAGGTTATCCATGATAGCCTAATATCACAAATCACAAAATCAAATGTTCCTCAGGGGTGTTTACAGCATACCCTCTATTCGTAGACCATATTATGACGATGCTAATGAGTGGAACAATAATCTAATATAAAGCTCTTTAATGGTCAACATGCTGTAGTAAGTAATAGTATAATCTTAAGTGGTGTGGCGAGCTTTTTGAGACATTATTTTAGATTCAGTTCAATTCAAAAGGGGCTTGACTGGCATGGGAAACAACTAAAACGTACTGTGGTATTGTGGTAGTGTGGTATTGTTTTTAGAAATATATAGTATATATACAGACAAGCCACCAAATGCTTAAAATATAAAAATCTATCTAGACTTTAGACTAAAGTTAGAAAAATATAAATACAAATAAGTGAGAACTATGTAACCACTGCAACATGCCTCAAAGTGAATTTGTATTTAAAAAATATTTGTTCTGTGTGTGTCTATGTCCAGTGTTGTTTTGTACGGACTGTAATACACTATGGCCATCTGCCGGAGAAGCTCCGTACTGCACTCTGAGATCAGGACATTTGGTGTTATATACAGGGTTAGGAGGGTTACTTTAAAAAATGTATTCTTACACAGTAAAATGACCTGTTAAAAATTAAGTCAGTAATCTAATCCAAGTATCACAATTTTAAAGTAAATTGATTACTTTCCCTTACTTTTGGATTACCTCAACACCAAATATGCAAAAAGAAATATCAATATATATATTAATGCATGTGTATTCTGTAAGACAACAGAACAATGTGACCTTGAAAAAGAAAATGGAAACTAAGATTTTTTTGTAACAAAAATGTGTCCTCTCATGAAAACTGATGTATTTTAAAATTGTAATCCTGTTAATAATCCCAATTTTTACTAAATGTAACTGTAATCTGATTACATCTTTTTGTCTGTATTGGATTACCTTTTTTGGTATCCTTAGTTACATGTAATCCGTTACCCACCAGGCCTGGTTATAGACATTCTCTCTATTTCACCGTATCCTAACGGTAGCCCAAAGAGTTTTGGAATTAGAGTCCGTTTATAACTTAAAAAATGTGGTGCACACGGTAGCTCACCTGGTAGAGCACTTACCGCAGCGGCCAGGGTTTGATTCCAACCTGTCATCCCCCTTCTCTCTTACCCCTCTTTCCTCTCTATCTTCACCTGTCCTATCAAAATAAAGGCATAAAAGCCCCTAAACTGATGCTTTAGAGGTTCAAATGCATTGCTTCCTGCACTAATGACATGTACCCTGAAAGACAGACTACACTAAGTGTATAGCAGGTAGGGCAATCTATTATAAACAAAGTGCATAATGAATAACTTTTTCATTTCTCATGGTGAAGGTTTCCTCCTATGACTGAACCATCACTGTCCAGAGTGATGAAGCCAACTTTGACCAACTTCTATCAGCGCCAATCACAGAAGAGGTAGTTTACAGAAGAGGTTGACTCATGCTCTCTTTAATTCAGTTAATTTCTGGAATATAGTTCAATAATTTAAAGGTCCAGTGTGTAACCTTTAGGATGATCTTTTGCTAGAAAAATAATATAATATACATTGGTATGTTTTCATTAGTGTATAATCACCCACCTGAATGTAGGAATTTAAACCACTGGTACACAAGCTAGTGGTCCTGACCCCCCACTATGGGTCGCCAAAGCGTTGCAGAGGGTCGCGAGTCTTCTTGATTTTATTGTATTGTATTGTATTGTATTACTTTATTAACCCCACAACAAGGAAATTCCCTTTTCACAGCAGCAATTACGTGAAATAAATAAATACAGATATAAAAAAACTATGGTAAAGTGGTAA